TCAACAAACAACCTGCTCGAGCAATAATTAATATCATCCAACACCATAATCAAATAAAATTCAATCAACCTGCTCGAGCAGTTATGAATATCCTCGATCTAACATATCCTGCCACCGAGGTCTGCTCGAGCTATCTGTAATGAGTCCCAAGTGAACTGCCCCAAGTGAACATCCTCAATCTACCATGAGTTACTCGATCTATCCATAATAAGATCCATCGACCTGCCACTTGGATCAAAAGCACAAATACAGCATAATCAAACCAAATAAGACCATCAATCTGCTCGAGTTATCCACAATAAACAGCATCGACCTGTCATTGGGATTAAAATCACAAATACAGCATAACCGAACCAATTAAAACCATCTATCTGCTCAAACTATCCATAATAAACTCTCGCCACTGAGTTAAAAGCACAAACACAACAAAACCAAATCTAATAAATCCATTAACCTGCTCGAGCTATTCGTAACGAGCTTGATCGACCTGCCACTGAGGTCAGAAGCACAAATATCATAAAACCAAATCAAGTAAATCTATTAACCTGTTCGAGCTATCCGTAATGAGCTTGATAGAACTGCCACTGAGGTGAAAAGCACAAATACTGCAAAACCGAATCAAATAAACCGTTAACCTGCTCGAGTTATCCATGTTTTCGCACTTGCCCACTCAATCCGAGGAATGTTCGAAACAGGAGGCCACCCAGCCCAAAGGCATGGGCTTTTTGACCAACCTGCCCATCCCAAGGGGTGTACTGAACAAGTGACCACCCAGCCCGGGGGCCTTAGTCATGGTGGATTTTATCTTCATACTGCTCGAATTATCAATTATGAACTCCCTCAACCTGTCACTGGGGTTAGGAACAAATATACAATAATATCAGACCAAATAGAACTAAGTAGAAATAATTGACCTGCCTTTGAGGTTTGCTCGAGCTATCCATGTCTTCGCACTTGCCCACCCAATTCGAGGAATGTTCGAAACTGGGGGTCAACCTGCCCATCCAAAGGGGTGTACTAAACAATTGGCCGCCCAACCCAGAGGCCTTAGTCATGGTGGAATTTGTCTTCAGGCACTTGCCGACCCCAGGGAGGCCTTCCGAAACAAGAGACCACCCAGCCCGGAGGCCTTAGTCATGATGGATTTTTTTTTCTTCAGGCACTTGCCCACCCAATCCGAGGGATGTTCGAAACAGGGGGCCAGTCTGCCCATCCCAAGGGGTGTACTAAACAAGCGACCACCCAGCCCAGAGGCCTTAGTCATGGTGGAATTTGTCTTCAGGCACTTGCCAACCCCGGGGGGGCCTTCCCAAACAAGCGACCACCCAGCCCGGAGGCCTTAGTCATGATGGATTTTTTTTTTTCAGGCACTTGCCCACCCAATCCGAGGGATGTTCCAAACAGGAGACCAACCTGCCCATCCCAAGGGGTGTACTATACAAGCGACCACCCAGCCCAGAGGCCTTAGTCATGGTGGCTTTTTTTCTTTGAAGCTTTCGACCTACCGCTGAGGTTAAATGGGAACACATCGAGCAAAAGGATATTATAGTAATTGGTCATTTTCGTTAGTTCCATAATATTCATAATTATATCGAGCAAGATAAAGAATCAAGCATATTTTTCGACCTCCCTTTCCTGGTTGTACATGATGACCTGTGCTCGAGATCTTCGACCTGCCACTGAGGTCGAAAAGGAAAACATAGAACACAAGAAGATATAATAACACCCGATCATTTTGTTAGTCATCCAAACAATAATCTCAACCATGTCCATATGCATCACAATCTACTCAACAATTCGCCCAAAGTACTCAGACAATGAACATCTTTAGAAAATAGTGCTAACGGACTCTATGCGTCTGTAAACCACGTGTTGATCACACACGACCATTGAACAAGAGTTGAGAATAGTTTTGCACCTGAAGGTCGAGAATACCACTCCAAATCGTCTTACCTCTCCAAAAGAGAATGATTTCTGCCTTTGATATTGTCATCGGTGATCGACATCATCCATGCTCATCCTTCATTATCACCCACCTTTGATGGACTTATGCTCGTTCATTTTGTCCTCGACACTCAACAGCTCCTCCGCCATAGCTCGTCAAGACTCGGGTTACTTTGTTGTTTCCTCGACAAAAATTCAGAGAGATATCATTTATCCATATTATATTCAAGCTATCCATTTTGCAATGCTCCACGCAATAAAAACAAGAGATCAAATACAAATATCACCATCTCATCGACTTAAGACATGCTCGACATGTTTAAAAATTATGAATAATCAATTCGACAAAGTTCCGCATTTTCACATAAAAATCCAAATCAGAGACTCCGGGTATATTAAGGAATCGAATCATATAATTTTAATCCACCTCCTCGAGCCTGTCGATAAGTGCACCAAAAAACACGACGAACACAATCCTAAAATATCATCAATTCGAAATCATGACCCGCATGTATTTCCTCAAATTTATGTTTACGAACAATCGAATAATCCTCAATCAAATCGAATATATGTCCACGAACAAATCAAATAATCCCTCAAATAAATCACATAATTATCCACGAGTACTCCCAGTAATATCT